CCCAGGTTGGGGGCTTTTTCTTATCTAGGCTCCTATTCCCCCCTCCCCCCCACACACACACACCCCCACACTTGCTGGCTGGTCACCCTGCCTGGGCTGTACCTGTCAACTCTTTTAAGTTGGTCATGAAGTCTCAGCAGAGCGGTGGCCCCCACAGCCACCCCCGAGACTCTGCGGGCTAAGCCGCACTGATCCTCCACGTATACAGCAGGACTGGGGGGGGGCCTGGCTCCTTCCCTAGGCAGCACCTGGCTCCGTGACAGCCTAGTGCCCATCTCCCAACCGACTGGCCCCCTTGGGCCCCCAAAAGCCATCAAGCTCCTGCCCGCAAAGCAGTTTTGTGAGCTGGTGCACACGGCAGGGTCACACCGCCACTCACTTTAGTCCTTCCAGCCCTAGAGGGCAGAGGGGCCAAACCAGAGGGGGGCTGTGTCTTCCCACTTGAAATGTGGATGGTGTTTCTCTGGGGGGGGCCTGCACCCGAGACCATTGCTCTCTTTTTACAATTGCTATACCGCTGCTAGATAGCTAAAAAGCCTTGCTGGAGTATATTACGTGATTGGTTTAGCTACTACTCTGGTTCCCCCCAGCGGAAGTGACTGCACACCACTCAGATCCCACAGAGAAGAGACCCTATGGAAACCAGGCCAGAGGCTAGACATGAAATTTAATTTAATAGAAATTTTCTTCAATCATTCATACATTCAAGTGTGAACATGAGAAGTCTCTGAACCCCTACCGCTGCCCTTCACTCCCACCCACAATACAGTTCAGAGTAGTTAGAAGCTTGGACTCCATATCCTGCTCCCTTACCCTCTACCAACCCCCATTCTATCCACCAGGCTCCCCCCACCCCAGCATTCTGTGACCTCCCTCACCAAAAGAACATTCTCGTCATTCTAGCCCGTGCCCCATTTCCCCTCCACAATAGCTCTAAGCAGTTTCCAAGGGGATTCCTGAGGTGGCAGGCATGTTACAGAAGATCAAGGAACTACAGATGTTTGCTTTAGAGTCCAAAGAAAGGGGAGGAAATTGCTTAGTTACACATCCCACTTAGTCTGAGCTGTTAAAAGCACTTTCTGTTCAACTGTGGATCTAGTTTGGACAGCCGCTTCAATTGTCAAACAATGCAGCAGCAACATAGTGGGACATGGATCCATCCACTCATTTTAAGCAGGAGCTCCCCCCACAGCTGGACAGTTCCCTGGGAGAACAGACTGCTGAAAATGAGGCATAATACTGCAGTCTAGTAGATTCCAACCCCTTGGTTCACCAAAGCTGTGCTAGGATGGAGGAAAAGCCAACCCTACCATCCCGCCCACTCAGGTCACTGACATGGGAGCAGGGGTTGGAATCTGCTTCGTGTGAGAAGAGATGGGGCAGGGCAGGTGACTGGGGAAGGAGGGCAAGTGGTTCGCTGCTTCCTACATATCCCTTTGCAGAGCATCTGGAGGACAGGAGCCAGGAGAGAAGCCAGCCACCATTAAGAGTAGTTGCTGCCGCTGTTCCTGTCTGAGCCAAGGGTTACGTTTCTACAGTTAACCTTAGCATACATTCATACACTGCAGGGCCCAGACCTGGACTCACATGACTGGATCCTTGATGGCATTGGGGGCATGTGAAATAAAAAACAAACCACAAACAAAACACCAATAAAAAAAGTTCAAGTCTCATAGAGACATTACTGTATCCCCTCCCCCTCTCCTTATTTGGGTTTAACCAAGCGAGCCCCATGGTGTGGGCCAAAGGTGAGGCTCAGCGGAGGAGCGGTGCTGTGGGAACGGCTTTTTACAGCTCGTCCTTCAGCGGTCCCTCCGTTTCCTCCTCTTCCTCCTTCTCCGGCTCATCATCGTCATCATCCTCCTCTTCCTCATTATCATCCCCTTCGGGCTCCTCGTCCCCTTCTTCCTCTTTCCGCTTCTTGTCCTCCTCCTCCTGTTTCTTCCTCTGCTCCTCGTCCTGCTGCTCCTTCATTTTCTTCTCAGCATCCTGGAGATTGATGACGACACGAGTTAGCCAAAAGGGAGCAGGAAGATGGCGCAAGCGGTTTGGGTGCTAGCCTGGGCCCCAGGTTCTAATTCCCTGCTCTACCAGACTCCCTGGGTAACCTTTGGCAAGCCCATGCCTCAGTTTCCCCATCAGCACGAGGGGGGAGGATACTGCCATTGGGCTGGGTTGGGCCAGGAGCTCAGATAAGTACCTGGAGGAAGGAGAGAGGCTGCAAGGAACGGAGTAGGCCAGGAGGCTGGACTCTACTCAATGCTCTGAACAGCTTCAGAGCACCTTAAACCTTCACGCCTTGGCAAGATGATTTGCCTCACTCAGATAGGGAAACTCAGGCCAGGAGCGGTTAGGATGTGCCCAGCACCTCAGTGGAAGAGGCCAGGAGTCCTGCTTCAGCCATAGACCCATCCTGACAGCCCCTTTCCACTCGGAGGGGATGGGCGGCCATTAGATTAGAGGGTTTAGGTTTCAGAACATTTGTTGCACTGTCCGGCCTCTCCCCCTCCACAGCAGATTGTTTGAGGTGTTTCTCTGCCCCATTAGAACGGAACAGCCCCATCACCCTCCCAGCCCAAGAGATGCTGCAAAGCCCCTGGCCTCAGCTTGCCTTTCCCTGCACTAGGATTCCCAGTGGAGCCCCTTGAACAGCTGCGGGTCCTTCCTCCGGCTCAGGGGGTGACTCAGTCATGGGCTCTGGCTCAGAGCGGTGGTGCCCCCCATGCTGACCCAAGGGGAGGAGGACTTGTCCTGGCAGGGGAAATCACTTCTGGAGGAGCAGGAGCGCTCCCCGGGGCAGTCATTACCTTGGTGGCTCCCCAGGTCTCATTGCCAAACTCCTCTGCAAACTTCTCGTCGTCCGTGATCAGGAAGTTGTCGAAGATGGTGCCAGATTTCACCTGAAAGGACAGCGAGCCAGTGAGTGCGCAGCAGGGAGCAGCCGGTCGCCCTTCGCCCATGTCCCCCCAAGCGAAGGGGAGGGGGCTGTCGGCCAGCAAGACAAGGGTTAAGAGTCAAGTCCTGCCCAGAAGAGAACTTAATGCTGCTCAGAGTCAGAGGCCGATTGGGCAAGAGAAGCATCTGTTTTGGCTTGGGAAGCGCGTTCAGACTTACAGGAGCCAGGAGTCCCTGAGGGAGAGTTACGGTATCTGCCAACAGGGGGCAGCACAGCCAGGCACAAGGCCCCCCCCCTGTCTCAGACTGGATACCCCAGCACTTTAATGCAGCTGGGGCTCCGGGGGCTCGGTCTGAAGCAGACCCCAGTTAAAGGCGAGTTCCCACCCCAGCGCAAGGTGGCACGGTCTATGCGATAGAGAGCTTGGTGAGTCCTGCTCCCAGCCAGCCCTCTCGGGAGGAGCGCACCTGCCACAGATCCAAGCCGATGACGCCGAAGCTGTCGTAGGAGTACAGGCTGGAGTCGGGGGTGTAGTCCGGGTTGTCGATCTCAGGGTGCACCCACTTCCCTTTGTAGTCAGGGTTGTCGATCTGGCGGGGTTTCCACTCCCCCTGGGGAGCAGGAGAACAGCAGGTGAGAAACCAGCGAGTGGGGAGAGGGATTGCAGCTGGTCTTACAGGGGGAGAAAGTTCAGGGAACGGGCCTGGCCTGGGGACACCAGCTCTGCCAGAAGCTATTGCGGCTGTAGGAGTGGGACAAGCTGCCTCCCTCGGAGCACATGGCACCCTGAGGATCACAGGCCCAGACTTTATTAGGGGGAGTTGGAACACAAGGGCTCTCACCTACAGCTGGGCTGGGCTGAGGCTGCCATCGAGGGAGCCCAGTGCTAGCATGCCATGGATTCTTCCCACGCCGTGCTGGAACCCTGAACCAAGGGCCATGGTGGATTCTCCATCACTGGCCGTTTTTAAAATCAAGACTGGGGATTTTTCCCAGAAGCTCTGATCTAGGAATTACTGCAGGCCAGTTCACTGGCCTGCGTTAGGCAGGAGGTCAGACGTGACTAGAGGATCGCAATGGTCCCCTCTGGCCTTGGTATCTAGGACTGAGCAGCCACGTGCCAACCAGGGAATGTGCCTGTTCAATCTCTGCTCCTCAGCCCGCCCTTGTAGGTCCCAGAGTCCCTCCTTACCCAGGACTAGCTCAGCGTGAAGAGGATTAGACTGGTGCAGTGTTGCCACAATAGTTTGGAGTTACCAGAGTCTTGATCTCCCCCCCCCAGGGCATAAGCCCATCCCCTTGCAGAGGGCTGGAGGTGGCACCAAGAAGGGAATGCTCCTTGGCACTGCACAGAGGTGTTATGGGGGTTCATGCCTTTCTCTAGGGCAGGAAACCTTAACGGGTGCATTTGTCACTCCAAGGCAGTAACTGGTGAGTGTCAGGCCTCATCCCCTGGGTACACAGATACTCAGCACTGACTGCAGCAGGGCTGCGGCTCCTCAACCAACAGAAGGCCACGACGTTCATGCAAGTTTACAATCAGGCACTCTAGACCCCCGCTGCAGACCCAGCCCGTGGGCCAGCCTTACCTTGTACTCTGGGTTCTGGATCACCGGAGGCTCCCACTCCCCATCCATCTCCTCATCCCAGTCCTCTGGCTTCTTGGCATCAGGGTCGGGAATGTGCTCCGGCTTATCCCAATCCTGAGGGGCAGAGGAAGAGAACCAGGCAGATGTCAGGAATTGATTCTCCACCAACTCCTCGCTCTGATGGATATCCTGCCCTCCACTACCCCGTCCACACCAGCCAGCCACACACAGCGAGAGCTGCAGCTGCTATCCCCCACCACCTGCCACATGGGCGGGGAGAAATGATTAGCATTATGGTGCCAGTCTCTGCCCATCCCGAGATCTGCAGCTCCCAACTCACCTCTGGCTTAGTGTCCTCGGGGTCGTCTATCTTGGCCCTATCGTCCCAGTCCTCTGGTTTCTTGGCCTCAGGGTCCTTGATCTTCTTGGGAGGCAGGAAGTCCCAGTCTTCCTCCAGGCTGCCTGACTCCACCTTGTTGTTGTCGATCTTCACCTCGTAGGTGTTGTCAGGCCGCACAATGAGGGTGTAAAGGTGGGTAAACTCGTCGTCCTGGACAAGGGAAGGAGCCGGGGATTAGATGAAGGCTCTCATCTCAGGGCCAAGGAGATCTCACTCCAGGCCCATGTCACAGGGCAGCCAGGAGACTCACCTTGCAGCGGATGTCTTTGTTGATCAGGACGTTCTTCCCTTTGTAGTTGAAGATCACGTGCACTTTTTTGGTCCCTGGGCCACAGATGTCAGGGCCTGGATTGGAAACAAGCTACAGTTCAGAGGAGCAAACCCAGCCTGCATCAGGAGGGGCTGAAAGTCACCTTATTCCAGCATGGAGAGCTAGCAAATTCAGCCCCCAGGAGGACCAGCGACTAGCTCACCACAAGCACATCCCCACACTGGGGCGTACACTGGTCTTGTTGGCAGGCTCAGCTGAGAGAACATGGGCTGAATGGGGCTCAGACTGGACTCTTCCCCCTGCTGGTCACCCACCAGAAACGACAGGGGGGCAGTGTTGGGGGAACACAGGGGTTGCCCTTCTGTTGCTCATGAGGGGCCCTAGGGCAGGCTGATCTCCAGGCCTGTCAGGACACTAGATTCCAGGGAATCTGGGGACAGAGTTTGAATTTTAGGTGCAAATCCCCAAGTCCCTTCATCCACCTCTGGGGTGGAGCACAGCAACAGCCCATGACCACTTAGGCCAGCTTTGGCAGCTGAAGCTGTGGGTGAATCCGGGGAGAGCAGAAGGTTATTAGCCAAGCTGGAACCGGGCAGGACACGGCCCCAACAACTCATGACAAGTTCCCCAGCAGCCCCTAGTGTCATGCTGGGCCAATGAGCATCCCCTGCTAAGTCACCCACCCACTCCTGGGGGTTTGGAGAGCCCCCCTCCAGACACTGTGCAAGCCCCACCCTGCTGCGCATGAGACCCTACCACAGTCTGGGCCCATGGCTAGCAGAGCCCACCCCGCAGGCACTCACCAAACATGATGTTGTACTCCGAGTCCCCGTGCATGTCCTCCTGGCTCAGGCCCGAGGGGAAGAGCTTGACGTAACCACCACCGCAGTCGATGTTCTGCTCGTGTTTCACTGTGAACTGCACCACCAAGGTCTTGTCCTTGTTGCTGAAGGAGTCAAAGCGGGCAGACAGGGCGTAGAAACGGGCATCCTGGCTTGTCTGGAGGCCTGGTAAGGGGAGGGGAAAAACACACAGTCAAGAGCCAGCAGGGAGGGGGAGCGTGATCCCTCAGTAGCTAGCCTCACAGCTCAGCACATCCGGGCAACAGGCCTGTTTGCTCTCAGCTCCCCAGCAGGGGAGACTGTAGGCAGGTACCATGCTGGTCATCTTACAGCTAATGCTTCAGGGCACGAGGTGGCAACCAGCAAGGGATTATCCCCCCAGCCATGTACACAGGTGCATTATGGGGGTTTTGCCAGCTTCACCAGCCATGCGCTGTTATCTGGACCCTGGTAGTGTCATGGACCTGTGCAGACAGTTAAGAGGCAGCCCTGTCCCAAAGCGCACACAATCCAGGCGACTAACCCATTACAGCCAGAATGGGATGGGAAGGAATTACTGGGCTGAGCTGACACTAGGGTATTTATAGAAGTGCTGGGTGATTTATAGGCAAGTAGTAACTCAACCATCTTGCCCATTGGCTCCTCTGGCAAAGAGCAAAGGCCCCGATCTCCCTAGTGCATCCTGGGGGACACAACACAATGCAGCAGGAACACGATTTCCCACCTTTATCCTTCTCCGCATCCCCGTAGAACTTGCCCGCCGTCAGTTTGAACTTCCCATAGTCCGACTTGTGCTTCGACTCCACCCAGCGGCTTGTCCAGGCATCTGTGGGGAAAAGACACAGGCATGAAGTTTTAACAGCCGGCCCGCTATCACCACACACTCAGGAGAGGGCATGTGGGCTACAGACCCAGCCCACCCTTGGTCACTGAGTGAGGAAGGCCCCACCTCACTAGGACATCACAGGCCAGAGAAGAGCTCTCGAAGCCAATCACTGGCTAGTGTTCCAGTCACCCGTGGAGCCAGGGGCAAGGGCCTCATTTTCAGCAGGTGGAAAGGAAGCGGATTGCCCAAGGTCCTATTGAGCCTGTTCTCTCCCCCCGCCCCCCCAAGAGTTCTGACTCCCAGTGCCTCTGTTCCAGCCAGCCACTAGACCACACTCCCCCACCCCATATGCAATGATGGGCCTGCTTCATCCAGCAGGCAGAGTGAAAGTTGACCATGTAAGTGTGTGGCAGAGGATTAAGTGTGGAACAGGATCTTGCATTTCTCTTCCCCCATGAGCCCCAGCGCTTCATGAAGAGGACAGGCAACACACAAGGACTGTCACCCGCTGCTGAAATGCAGCCTCCTCTGGGGTGGAATATGGCAGCTGTTTAACAGTCAATCCTGCATTGGCAGCTTATAATGCTTGTTAGTGCTTTGATCAGCATGCCCCGACATCCATCTAGAGCGGCTGGCCAGCCACTTCTCATCCCTTAGTACTGCAAGCTGCATCATGGACCAGAAGCAGAGGCCTTGTCTGAAGGGGCCAGTCACAGCCTTTAGAGCCATAGGTTCACCTAAGCCCCTCAGGCAGGAGTCACCAGCTTCCCAGACAAGTTCCAAACCTGCTTCCGAACTCATTGGCTCGGTCACAGCTGCACACTGCATCTATACGGTTTCTCACCCGGGCACAGCGGGACTGAGCTGAGGCCAGGAAGCGCTCTGCTCGGAGATCTACGGAGCCAGATAACTTTGCACCCAGCCATCCGCTAGGGCGGATTTTTGCTTTCAGACCTGCACATGGTGCCCAACCCCCGTAGGGCTGTACAGTCGGCATGTGCTTAGATACACCCCAAAATGTTTGACCCCTAGTCCTTATAGAACAGACGCTCATCCCCACAGGGCCCAATAATTAATTATCGATTCCCCACTGCCCGTTCAGTCTAGACTACACAGGGAGGCAATTATGAAACTAAAAAGGCCTCCAGCCACACACACACACACACCCACCAAGGCCCTGCCTCCTTTCTAGAGAAGGAAACTCCCCTCTATAAGCCCTTAAATTCAGAAGACCAGCTGCTGCCTATAGGAGGCAAATATGCCCTCTCCAGGTTGAGTTTATTCAAGAAGCATGGTAAGATACCAGGCCTCTGGTTTCAGGCTGTGTTGTAAGAGGCTGTATATTCAGAGGCTCTTACAGTTTCAGCTACTGAACTGTTACCAGGTGAGTTTTTAAATCTGATCTGCTATGTACTGATTTGGGGAGGGGGAGGCAGATTTCCCTCACCCCCACCCCCAAATATTTTCAAAGCCTCTTTTGAAAAGACTTTAAACTGACATGCTAATGCTTTCTTGAGCCCATGGCAAATGAAACTCTCTGTAATAAGAGACAGATGAAGGTTAGCTCAGTACTCCCAACCCACAATCCCAAATCCTGCAGAACCCTGACCAGCCAAAGCAGGATTTTAGGGTGTAAGATTTAAATGTTTTGTGGGTGAAATAGAATTCCTGCCTCCCAACAGGATTCTCTGCCCCACTGTGAGTGTGGCCTGCCTCCTCACAGAGAGAGGTGGGCTCATTCCATATGGAATGAGCCCACCTCTATATGGCCTCAATTGATCTTATTATGATTTCCCCCCTCCCCACAGAGTTCCCTTTGGTTCTGCAGGGACCATTTATGCCACTGCACCATTAATCTTCCCTAGATACCACCCCCTATGTTCACACCCCAACTCTGTAACCCCCGAGATCTGAACCCTATTTAATCCTCCCTGCCAACCCCCAGACCCACCCATGAGCCTGACAGCACAGCGAGCACTACAGAAAAGTGTTATGTCCTTCACTCCAATGCCCCCCCAAAGCAGATCTACACTGACCCCTCCCCTCTCAGAAGCACACTCACTCTGGGGAACCCCCCATCACAGCTGTTCTTCAGAGCCTGCCCTTCACTGTACCCACACACCCCCCAGCCCAGAGACTAGTCAACCCTGACTAACCCCTCCACATGCAGGGCTAGCCGGACCCCATCACCTCCCTTCAGTCCCACCCCCATCTCCTGCAGGGCTAGCCTG